GATACTTTCCTAAAATATTTCCTACTATATCACTCTAGTCCTGATGAAGCAGAATGGCAAACATATGACAGAGAATTACTTTTCTGTCCACAAAATTCTGTTAATGAACATTATTAGAAAATGCACGCATCTCTGTTCCTTAATTATATTTACTCACTCCCCCTCCATACTCAACATCTTTCATATTTTCCTTCTCTTTATTTCTCTAGACTATATTCTGGCCATTTCTTATCTGTTTAAAATGTCTGGTTAAACTACCAGAGATTATCTTTTCCTTTCACTTATATTTTTCTTTTAATAGACAGAAGAGTCCTGTTTCTCTGACAACTGAGGAGCCACCACCTCAGCCATGGACTGGCAATCTGGATATTTATGTGAGAGAAATAAAATGTCCATTTAATTTACAGCCTTATTATGGAGTAAGCCTAACTAATATATCTAATTGTTTTGGGATTGCCTAATTCATGAATATTTCTATATCATCCCACAAATAAAACGTAAGGGCTTATGTGCATCGATTTTATAAACATTGCCTTGAACTACTCAAAAGTTATCTTTACTTATACTCAACTACTTTCCATTTAATTAACATTACTGAATAATTAACCTAACTGAGCTATTATGTAATGAACACCACTCCCAATTATTTTCACAAAGAATTATCAGCCTGGTATTTATAATATAATATACATCTACATTTATTATTCTATGAGCCTTCACAACATGAACCTATTTTCAAAAATCTAAATGTAAACAGCCGTATCTTTAGTCCCAAAGATTTTAACTATTTCCAAGTATATGTTGGAAATTCAAGAAGAAAGACCGTAAGAAAAAAGTCCATTTAATGATTATTTACAGACTAGAGGCCTGGACCATGAGGGCGCAGACCAGGCTGGGGGGTCCCCTCAGCCCGGTCTGCACTCTCTGACAGTCCGATAGCCCTTGGGGGATGTCTGGCAGATGGCCATCCTTAGCTGCCACAGAAGCGGGAGAAGCTCCCCCCAGCTGTAAGCCATGAGCCCCGCTTCTGGCTGAGCGGCGCTCCCCCTTTGGGAGTACACTGACAACCAGGGAGCAGCTTCTGCATTGAGCATCTTCCCCCTGGTGGTCAGTGCACATCATAGCAACCAGTCGTTCCACCATTCAGTCGATTTGCATATTACCCTTTTATTATATAGGATACCAAAAGTTCTCCTATTGCTACTACTTAGAAATCATCAAGCTACTCTGGACTTTGAAATTAAAGCACCTTCTTTTATAGATCCATTTGATTGTCAATACAGACATGTCTTCCATGAGGTACCTCAGATACCTGAATCACAATGCTCCATTTCTTTTCATATCATTCCAAACAAGTGGAAGTTTGGCATTTACTTCACAGTGAAGCATACCTGAGAGATTAGCTCACACAGGTAAAGAAGAGCTGGCTGCATGTAGACAGCAATTGAATCAATATCAGACCAGTCAGAGCTCCCTTCCACCACACCCTACCCCAAAAAAAGCAAAAACCAGAATATGGTCAGCTGCAAGATACTAATTCAAACCAGAGGACAACTCAAAGAAAACCATGGGTTAAAAGCATCCCCACAGATTGGCCCTGATCGCTGGCCAGGTCTAGGGACCCTACCCAGCCACAAATTTCAGGCACCGGGTCTCTAGTCTATATATATAAAAGCCTAAGCGGCTGTTCGATCATTTGACCATTCAACTGGTAGGTATGATGCACACTGACCACCAGGAATAGACACTCCGACCAGTAGGTTACCATGCTGCTGGGGTCCAGCCGATTAGGACTGGGCAAAATGGGCCAGACACACCCTGGAGCCCTCCTGTGGTCCCTCCCCAGCCCTGATCATGCACCAGTAGGGTCCCTCAGCCTGGCTTGTGCCCTCTCGCAATCCGGGACCCCAGGCCTCTTGTAATAAAATAAAGTAAATGTAGATAAGCAACTGACCTTAAGCAGTGGTTCTCAAAATGTAGTATGAGTCAGAATCATCAGGAGAACTACTAAGATAGAGACAGCTGGGCCTCACTCCCAGAGTCTCTAATTCAGTAGGTCATGAAGGAAGACTGACAATTTGCATTTCTAATAAACTCTCAGGAATCTTATGCTGCTGGCCCTGGGATCAACTTTGATCACCACCTAGAGAACATTCATATGAAGACTTTGGTGGGTAACATTTTTTTTTCCTTTCTTCTGCAGAGAAGCTCTCTAGTTGTGAAAAAACTAGAGCCTTTGTGGTCTCTACTGAGCCACTGGGGGTCAAGAAAACATTCAGAGTGAGTGTCCTTGAAATAGCACATAATCATGGGGAAACTTCTGAAAAACTTCTGATCCATGATCCTCATCAGAGATTTTCATAATCTCCCTCAGGACCAAACCTACAACAAATTTCTCAAGCTCATTCACTTAACTGGAATCTTATAGCATTAAACATTTCCCTAACCAATCCTGATTTCAAAATTTCAGCAAAGTGAATTACTTTTTCAAATGTTTCTTTTGCAGTTTCCATTTATGAAATACTGAAAACAAATCTTCATTAATTGATTAGCTATAACTGGTTGGCCTTAAAAATATAATTCCCATAAAGGTATCCAAATTATTACAAATCAAATAGCTACTCTGTGTATACCATCAATTTCCTATTCACCTAAAGATTTTAAATTCTTACATTAATTATTTTTTATCCCATAATAGGATATTGATGATAATACAGTTTCTAAAAATTAGAGATTCAATTTAAAATATGTTTAACTTAAGACCAAGTTATGTTTAACTTAGAACTCTGATAAATTTCTAATGGAAGTATAAAATGGCACAATCACTTTGAAAAACTCTCTTAGACAAGTTCTTTAAAGCTAAATTTACATCTACCTTGTGACACAATGACTCTATTCCTGGATGTTTATTACCCAAAAGAAATTGTAAAATGTTCACAAAAACATATGTACAGCCCTAGCCAGTTGACTCAGTGGATAGAGCATTAGCCCTATCCACTGAGGGTTCCGGATCTGATTCCAGTCAAAGGCACGTACCTTGGTTGCAGGCTTGATCCCTGGCCCAGTAGGGGCAAGTGTGAGAGGTAACCAATCTATGTGTCTATCTCACATCAACATTTCTGTCTCTCCCCCTCCTTTCCACTCTCTCTAAAAATCAATGGAAAAATATCCTCAGGTGAGGATTAACAAAACAAAACAAAAAAATCATATGTCCAGGAATGTCCCTAGCTTAACTCAAGCTCTGAGGCAGGCTACACACACACACACACACACACACACACACACACACACTCACACTCACACAAAAAGTCCTTGTACAAAATAGTCAAAAACTAACAAAGTATGATCTATTCATACTTAGCAATGAAAAAGGAATAAACTACTGATATAAGCACCAATATGAATGAATCTCAAAAGCATTAAGTTGAACAAAGGAAGTCAAACACAAAAGAACATATATAGCACTGTGTGATTTCATTTATATAAAGCCCCAAAATGTGCAACAACCTATGGTAATAGCAAGCAGAAAGTGGCTAAGTTTGGGATAGGGATAATGGACTGGCAGGGAAGATGAATTAATTCATGATTTCTGAAATGATGGAAATACTCTATGTCAGTGGTTCTCAACCTTCCTAATGCCGCGACCCTTTAATACAGTTCCTCATGTTGTGGTGACCCCCAACCATAAAATTATTTTCGTTGCTACTTCATAACTGAATCATAATGTAAATATCTGATATGCAGGATGTATCATTGTTACAGCAGCAACAGCAGCAGCAGCAGCAGCAGCAGCAGCAGCAACAACAACAGCCACCACCACCATCACAGCAGCCAGCAGGCACATTTTACCAGCAGCAGCAGCCGCCACAGACACAGGCTCAACAGGTAAGGTGGTCAGAGTGTGACCTTTGCATTGCATATCCCAGTCATTCACTGTGAAAAGACCCTCTAGGTCAGTGGTTCTCAACCTTCCTAATGCCTCAGCCCTTTAATACAGTTCCTCATGTTGTGGTGACCCCCAACCATAAAATTATTTTCGTTGCTACTTCATAACTGTAATTTTGCTACTGTTATGAATCGTAATGTAAATATCTGATATGCAGGATGTATTTTCATTGTTACAAATTGAACATAATTAAAGCATAGTGATTAATCACAAAAACAATATGTAATTATATATGTTTTCCGATGGTCTTAGGCGACCCCTGTGAAAGGGTAGTTCAACCCCCAAAGGGGTCGCGACCCACAGGTTGAGAACCGCTTCTCTATGTCATATTTTGCACAGTGGTAACATTGATGTGTAAGATTGTCAAAAAATCTATCAAATTGAACACTTAATATCTATGCATTTTATTATATGTAAATCACATTGCACTAAAACAAAATACTTTTAAGCTTAACTATTCAAAGAAAAGAATGATTTGCCGAAGCAATGTTTCCTGGACTCAAAATATACATTAAACAGAACAAATCATTTGATGTTAAAATTTCTAGTCACAGATGAGTGTTTACAGAATCATAATTTTAAGCTAAAAGGAGCATGACTGTACACCAGTTTTCCTTAGACAGTCATCCCAATGTAGTCCTGATGTCACAGCATTAATAGTGCCTCCTTCACCTTCAAAGTATTCTAATTTAGATTAACACCTATATAGACACTTCAGCTATAAGGGCATTTAATGTTATTTAGTATAATAAGCTCATTCACTTTTTCATTCAACCCACATTTACTAAGCAACTATGTAGATGACCATAGTCCCTATGTTCTCAAATAATTCACATTGCTTCTTTTTCCACAATCAAAATATAAAATGACTAGATAGATTTCCCCTAAACTTAACATAAAATATACAACTGAGAAAAAACTAAATATGGAACAAATCAGAATTTTTCTACAAGGTAAATATAAACCAAACTTACAAGGAAAAATAATTTTTTTGAACTGTAAGAAACAAAAAATATGAAGATATTCACAAATATAAAATAAAGAAAACCTTTACCTGCTGCCCTGTAAAGTATTTTAGGTTCAAAAAATATACAAGGATTTTTATCCTCTATGCATGACAAAAGAAGTCCCTTGGCCTGGAAAGGGCTTCTGGGTACAACCACCTGCAAAAACAGATTTTTTTAAAGACAATTTCAGTAAAAATGTATCCCAGCAAATTCATTATAAGGAGAGTTGACATTTAAATAACCAATTGTTACTAATTAAAAATAGAAATCTGGCATTTTTAGCCTAATTATAATTTTTAATAAAAATTTACATTCTGTCCCAAAATAGCCCACATGTTCAACATTTTTTAGATGCCCATCATATTCTGGTGATTAAAAATGCTCTTCTCCTAATGAGCTAAACTTGCATATACATAAAAAATAAAAGGATTCTACAAAAAGCATTCATCAAAACAAAAAAGTAAAGTTGTCAGTATCTTTCTGTATTTATCTATAAATAAATAAATATTTTCTACTAATACTCTACAGCTAATTCCAAAGGGTATGCAACTCTCTTCTCCAATTTTAAATATCAAAATCTCCTCTTCCATGAAAAACATGGTCTGCATTTCCTACAGGAAAGAGTAATCCACGGAACTTTACAATCAAGCACTATAACATTGTTAATGCAAAGCTAAAGAAATGTGTGGATACTGCACACTTCCAGCTAACAGGAAAAGATTCCAGAACCTTCCTGGGAATGAGGTTGATAATGAAGAAAATGGTAATGACAGGAGGTAGCACATGTGTTAACTGGGTCAAGAACACTATGTGGACTAATTCATCTACTGTTCACAGCAACTCGCCAAGGTAGCTATTATTATTTTCCCCAATTTAGAAATGCAGACTAAAGCTTAAAGAGAGGTCAAATAGCTTGCCCAAGGTTACATCGCTTGCTACACCAGGAATTCTCACCCAGTTCTGACTGATACACAGCTCAAGTTTGTACACCATTTTACCTCAAATCATAAACTTGCATCTAATTTTCAATGATTACTAAATAACTGCATAAAGACAAGAGTTACATAGAAAAAGTTACCATTAAAATAAACCTGAATTTATCACAAAGGCTTAAATAAGGTTCCTTGAAGCAAGCTATATTTGGCTTTCAAAAATCATTTTCATACCATTTTTATTGAAGGACACTATTCCATTTTCTGTAAACTAACTCCTGGACACAGTGCTTACCACAACACAATGTCTTTATCTTATGTTCCCACTTTATTTTTTTCTTCTTCTGCTTTCTACATGTGTTTATTTTTAACATTTTGTACTATATGTACAATTTTCATTTGGGATTAAAGAAAGAGAAAGGGGGAGAGGGTAGAGAAAGTAGAGGATTGAGAGAAAAGATGTGTTCTTAAAAATACTGGGTAACATCATAAACATTAAATGTGAATCAATGTTCAGCTCAAGCACAAAAATAACTATTTCCTCAACTGTGACTTCTGTCCCAACTTACCACTTCCAGCTTACATCGAAAAGTTATGCAACCTGTACTCTACTGAGAAAACTTTATGACTTTGCTTTAGGAGGAAAAAAAAAACAAATAAAAAAAACATAAACACATGTTCACAACCAGTTCATGTTATCAAAAAACAGACACACAGCCGTGGGTGAACATATCTATGAGTTTTTATAATGATTCCCAAGGAAGCTCTCTAGTAAATAGAACTAGAAAAGAAGATGATGTAAAAAATGAAAAGAAAATATGCAAAATGTTTTTATTAAAAGACCCAAGTTATTATAGAAATTGAAGACCGCTGTGGAAGGCAAAGAAAGATGCTTCAACTTTCACTGTTAGAGCAAATATTACCTTCCCTGGAGTGAAAAGCACACCTGGGTAACAGAGGCCTCTGTCAGTCTGTTTAAAAACATACAGACTAAAAGCAAAAGTCTATCCCTCTGACTAGGAATTAAAGAGTAGATTTATTAATTTACCCCAGAAAAAGATTTATTAATTTAAATGAAAAAGACCTATTAGAAGGAAACAGAGCTTTGAAACAGAGGAAGATAAACCAACTATGTTCTCAGTCTTATTCTGTGAAGCCTAAAATTAATATCAGGTACTATTAATATCAAGCCAGGTACTATTTCAAAAAGAATACTCTATAAATCTGAGCAATGGATTAATGAATATAAAAAACAAAACAAAACTATGCCCTCTTTTTAAAAGGTTTACATGAATTCCCAAAATCCTGTTTGCTTTCCTGTGATAAGCATTTTAGTTAATATTAATAGAATGAACCAAAATGAAAACCTCAACTGGAGATCAAATAAAGTACATAAATGAGTATACCTTAATTCCTGGGCAGTGGGCAAAAAAAGCTTCAGGACTCTGAGAATGGTAGAGGGCCCCATGGCCAACACAGCCCCAAGGGGAACGGATGGTGAGGCTTCCACAATTAAAAAGATCCCCAGAGCGATATCGATACTTGGCGGCTTCATTAACAATCTGAGAAGGGAGAAGAGAAGGGACATGTCACAGGGAGTCCTTCATTCCCATCCATTTTCTTCGACCCTTTATTAGATCTTTACATATATGCCATAACAACATACCTTGTAATGCACTAGCTCAAAGGTAGCACAAAGTTCTTAAGATAGGGAGGGTAAAGGCAAAACTTTAACACTTCATGGACTTAACCTTAGAAATGACCAATTATAGTAAACTGCAATCTTCCTACCTGATCAAAAGCTGGGTAAATATAATCTGCAAACTGAATTTCTGCAATGGCAGTAGCACCAGTGACTGCAATTCCAATCCCAAATCCAACAATTCCTTGTTCACACAATGGGGTATTAAAAACTCTATCTTTTCCTAAAATAAGAAAATAAAATCATTTTATTATGACAAATGAGAGTAATGTAATGCACAATACAACTGAAAAGTCAATGAGTTGGTAATGGTGAGATGGAGAAAAAAAGCAAGGGACAGGTGAAGGAAATAGAAAATAACTAGTATGATAGCTGTTTTAAATGCAAACATAGTAATTATATTAACTAAGTAATTGAAATGTTACAATTAAAAGACAGGGTGTCACACTGAGATTTAAAAAAAGCAAAATCCAACTACTTAAAATAAAATAAATAATAAAGATATCAGAAAGTTATAAATAAAAAGAAAAATATATATACAATAAAAAAAACACAAAGAAAATTGCTACATTAATAGCAGACAAAGTAGACTTTAAAGGAAAAGGCATTACCAGAGAGATAAAGAGGGAAAATTCATTCTTTAAAAGAGTTCATGTCACAAGGAGGACATAATTCTAAATTTAAACTCTTATGACAACATGGGCTCCAAATAAATAAATAAACAAACAAACAAACAGAACTGAAAAAAGAAATGGATAAATTCCCAAGATAGTGGGAAATTTTAACATACCAATCTCAGTAACTAATAGATAAAGCATACCAAAATAAAAGTAAAAACTTTATAAGATTTGAACACCATCAACAAACATGATTTAACTGATAAAGACACTATACACCTAACAGAGAACACTGGTATTAATTAACCATATACTGGGTTATAAATCTAATCTCAACAAGTTTCAAAGAATTAAAGTAATATAGAATATATTCTCTGACCATTATGGAATTAAGCTAGAAATTATTAACAAAAAGATAATTAGAAAATCCTTATGTTAGACAAAGTTTTAAACATATGTCTAAGTATCTCATGACTCAAAGATTAAGTTATAATGAAAATGAGAAAGTATTTTGACAGGAATGATAATGAGAACTCTATGTATCCCAAGTTATTGAGGTTCCAATTTCAATAATGGCAGAGTAAACCTCACACATCTAATGAACAAAATATACAAACAACTACTTACAGGCACTGGAGAGGCAAAAAAAAAAAGACCTAAACTTAAAGAGATTGGATCCTTAGAAGAACTGAATTGCAGTGGATGAGCATGACATATATAAGGCATATCCCTTGAGGTGATTCCCCAGTTTCTGAGACATGAGACAGCTAGAATTCAGACAGACAGACAGTCTTATCGGCATGGGGTGTCAAAGAATGGAGTCTGGAACTGCTAGTGGCTGGAAATTGAGGCACTAGTCCCTAAAAGAAGGGCACTACATGAGGGCACCCCAAAATGTATGCATTAAATCTTCTTAAATCCTCGGTTGACCCCTGTGCCTACGAGAGACTCCAAAAGCACAGCAGGTAAGTGGAAGCTCAAAGAGCTGACCATAGATTTCAGCTATGCCCACTAAAAAGGAGGCAGAATTTGGAGTCTGAGATTCTTTCAAATTAAAGAAGCTTGACAAACAAACACCTTAGGCTTTCCACTGAAACCACAAGGTATAATGTTACTAGCATACACAACTCATTTCTCATCTGAAATTTTACCACCTCTCAAACCATATTAGCATTTCATGAAAAATTCTAATTTCAGGAACTTGGATGGATAGACACAAGCAATAGCCACAGTCTTAAAGTTTGGGAACAGATCTATGATTCATATTTCAGTTCCATAATACAGGGATACCAGTTCTTCTTGGCACATAGAATTAACTTTCAGCTCAATCAGTCCTTTTGAATATGAACCATAAATAGAGCAGGTGCTAGAAAATGCCAACTAGACACATCCTACAGTTTGCACTCTAAAAGCAGCTGCAAAAACTTAAAGTATGATTCTTACTCATCCCGATCTGTGACTACCTTCTGACTGTGACCTCTATCCCTCATCAGTTCCCTATTTGACTGTGAGCTGCTTGATAATTTCTGAAAATTTATGATTCCATTGAATTAAGAACAATTCACTGGCAGAAAATGAACACAGATTCCAGCTGCCACCTGTAGGAATCCACACCTGTGGAATACCTGAACCATCTGAACCAGAGGAACAGTGTTATTATTTATTCCTTACTACTTCTGGTTCCCTGGATTCAGATATTTTTCATCTCAGTAAATATAGCCCGTTTTGCTCCTAGAAGGCAGAAAAGTTGAGTTTATCAGAATTCTTACTTCAAAAGATGCTTAATTTGAGGAAATAGCTTAACTCTCTTCATGTTTCTATGATCTAGAAAAAAACAAAACAAAACCCTGCTTCAACATGAATTAAATGTTAAAAATCTGTTTCTATTTTCTCCCAAACAGGTAATGATTGAGGGAAGAGCACACATAAAATGTAAAATACTGATGACTTTCTGTGTTATAATGCAATTAACCTGATATAAAATTCATACACACAGTGTCCCAATGGGTCAATTAATAATACATACAGTGATTACACCATTAGCCAAGACAGCTGTGGATTTAAGTGTCATCTCCAAAAATTACTAACCCCTAAGGCTGAATTTCTATTTGTACCAGAAGAATCATGATACTGAAGACTAAAAATTCACACGTATTCAAACATTTACAAAGTACCTAATACTATATAGACACTATTCTAGATGCAGAAGATACAGCAGGAAAATAATTCTATCCTTATGGAATTTATATTCCAATCAGGAAAAGGACAAAAACAAAATAAATGAGTAAAATATATAGTGTGTTAAATGATAACAAGTGCTATGGAGAATAGTAAAGCAGGAAGTAGGTGACTGGGGGAGCAGGTGGACCTACTATGATTTTAAATAGGATGATGGGGAAAGACCCACTGAGATGTGACATTTAAAGGAAGAGATGAAGGGTGAGGAAGTATACCATGCATACACCCACGGGAATATATGTTCCAGACAGGGGGATCAGCTAGTGCAAAGGTCCTGAGGTATAAGCATGTTTTAGCGCATCAGGGGAAAGACAAAAAGTTCAGAATGGTCTGGAGTAAGAAATAGTGAGAGAAGACAAAGTTGAAGAGTTAATAGAAAAGTATGGGAAGATGGCACAGAGAGAGGGCCTTGTAGGTCACTGTAAACTTTAACTATGAGAATGAGTCAAGTAGGTAAGCTTGACAGGAAGCCAGTGAGCAAAATCATGGCATTCTCTGAAATGACATTTCAACAGGATCCCTCTGGCTGATATTTGGTGAATAGCCTATAAATAGGCAAGGATGGACACAGCAAAATTGATTACAGGATATCACAATAATCCCAGTAAGAATGATGAATCATAACAGCAGAAAAGGTATGAGGTTTTGGATATAGTCTAAAGATAGAGTCTAAAAGATTTGCTGATGAAATGGATGTGGAGTATGAGTCAGAGAAATGCTAAAGATGATTCAAAGGCTTTTGCCCTGAGCAGCTTGAAGAGAGTTGCCATTAACTAAAAAAGGGGAAACCACAAAGAAGCATGTTAAGATATCAGAAGTTCGGTTTTGGAGATATTATGTTTGAAATACCTTCAGATATTAAGATAAAGCTATTAATTTGACTGTTGGATATATGAAAGTCTTACGCATAAAAATAGCATAAATGAAAACACAGAACTAGATGAGATTACCAAGTAAATTTAAATGAACACAGAGAGAAAAAATTCAATGTTACAAAGGCAAGAGGTAAGAAATAAATCAGAAAAATTGAGAAGGGAAAAAAAAAAGCCAAAGAGTTTGCATGAAAACTAGGAGAATGTGCTGGCCTAGAAGAAAGTGCTTCTAAGAGAGTGTAATCAACTTATGCTATATGCTACCAGAAGGTAAGATGAGGCTGAAAATGTTATAACTGGTGACCTCAACATAATAGTGTCTGCAAGTAGGAAGGAGGGAGAAAACAAAAGCCCATTTCAAGAGGGAATAGAAGAGAAATTGAAGACCATGAGTAATGGCAATTATTTGCAGAAATTTTGCTGTACGGGGGGGGGGGGGGCAACAACCAGTAGAGAAGGGAAAATTGATGATTTTGAGAAAAATTAATGAAATAGAGAGAGGAAAAAAAGGATGACTAGAAAGAACCATGTCTTTTAAAAGATGACAAAAAAGGAAGGAGTCTAAGTGTGGAGATGTTGACAGGAACCCTTACTTTCATTCAAACAAGAATAAAAAACGCGAGCACTGATGCTGGAACATGTATATACTGCATACGGTGGTGAGAGCTGATCAAAGTTCTATTAGTTGCATCTATGTTCTTAATAAAATATGAAATTAGAGTATTATCAAGAGTAAGAATAGAGAAGACAGTGCGAGAGGAAATAAAAGTATAAAAGAGAGAATAGCCCAGAACATGCAGCATGATGGTAGACAGCATGAGCCAGCCTTGGAGAATACTAGTCTTGAAATTAAAGTGATATCAGTTGACAAGATGACATGTGTTGCTCCAACAATGTTCAGCTCAGGGATTTAAGATTTAGACAGAGAGATAGACTGAATTAGAATTGGATTTTGCCAAGCAAATAATAACATGAAATATAAACTAGGTATAAAGGGAAGAGAGGCCATCAGGGGAGTAAGAAACTGTGACAGGTCAGTAGATTTCATGAATTTTAAGAATCAATATGGTCAAAAGATTGGTGGGATGGAGGTACTAGAAGCAGTTAGCTGGAGAGGTTTGAAATGGAGGTCAGAGTTAGGGATGCTTATAAGCAACTGCAGTTACTGGCAATGACAAAGTCAGGGGTATGACTACGAGTGAGAAGATGAGGTAGGATGGAGGACAAGAGAGAAGCCAGAAATAAAACACTGAGAAGCCAGAATATTGAGAAGACCATCCATGTGGGTACTGAAAGGAGTAGTAAAGACACTGCCAGTGAGCCAGCCTAGGAACAGAGGACTGGCCTGGGGTCAACAGATGACAAGGAAGGATAGTGTGGCAATTGTTTAAAAGCCCTACCATTAGGAACCAAAAGTTAAAAAAATTACATGATTAATTGGAAAAGAAAGTATCATGGGGTAAATTAACCTTTCATTTAAATAAAGATTTCTAAAT